TTTGTTAATTAATTAGGATTTTGTATTTATTCGGACTGTACTATTTATTCGGACTGTATATTATTTATTCGGACTCTCCGAGCGAGGGCACAATTGTAAAAAGTGTGCGTGCGTGTGATGTATGTCTTCAAATCTCACGTCTTTCTCCTTTTTATTTACCAGCTTATGATGGTTAGATTAGGGCATGTTTCAATTAGCATACGGTATGATAGCATGTTTGCATTCACTCATCTGTCTTGCATACACCGGGCTCGACGCATCATACTAACTGCATTTGTATTTCAATTCCGAGTTGAATACTTGTTAGTTATAGCATTTCACATGCCATCTTTAGAATAGCCGAGCCTATCTTAGTTGCATTTTGCATGTGTTGCATTAGGCATTTCTGTATAGTTAGGATCATGCATGGATTTCTAACATAGCTTTTGTTTTGGCTTGGAGTACTCGGTAAGTGTTTATGCTTTAGCATCCTTGCATGTGTGTGAGTGACTGCCATGATAGCATGCTTACCATGAGGCTATATGCTTATATGATATAACTGCCTGAATGCCTGTGGGTGAAGGTTGGATTATTTAAATTGGAATAATGCATTGACTGTGAGTTTTAAGCCCACTAGATAGTGGCAAAATCATGTTTTCTAAGCCCATCCGAGGGTGGCCAATCCACGTCTTAGCCTACTTGCGGGTAGCACCATCAAACCATTTTCAAATAAATAAACATGAAATGTTTTGTTTCAATTCAGGCGACCCAGTCTATACTTGTATGCTGCGCGCATCACATAGTAAATCTAGGCTAATAACCGGAATAAGAACGCATAATATTTTCAAAACTAGATATCATGGTTAGTAGAGGCCGATCTTTGATCGGGCGAGCGGGGGTGCTCATGAAGTGACCTTTCCCAATCGTACCCAAGTTCCCGAGCCGAGGCAACTTTGGTGATGACGAACACGTGGCCTTAGGCAACGAGTCAGGGTTTCCTAAATTTTCCCAAAATAAAATATTTAGGTGGCGACTCTGTATCTGGCAAAGCAGTCCATGTTTGGCACTTCTTTCAAAAAATCTGTTTTCAAAAACGATTTGCCGGATTTGGACTCTTTGATGATTTCATCGGTCTTGCATTGTACTCTGCGAGGTTAGATACAGGACCGTGACACAAATCGAGTCCGAACTATAGTGAGGCCCGAGGGCGCATCTACATCGGGTAAGGGAGGAACTTCGTACGTATTTTCAATGGCTTCCCATTGATCATTAACATCAGGGTAGGCTTTCATTCGAATAACCCACACTTGATAATTCGTTTCATCAAACACTGAAGGTGCTATTGCATTCGATGAAGCTCCTGAACTCATCCTGTGTTGGTTGTTGGCTTTTGTGTTTTGGATAGGGGAGATGGTGAGTGTTTAAAGAAAGTGTTTAAGGTAAGTGGTTAGGCTCACTCAACCTCATAGGTCTCTCAAGAACATATGTTGCTCTGATACCAATTTGTAGGTTTTTGACAGATATAAAATGCAAAAGCTCGCAAAAACAAACTTAATTTTGAGACTTATTTTTCTTAATCTTTATTTATCATCAAAGCACTTATTTATACAACTTATCAAAACAAAAAACAAAAAAAAGTATAAAGAATGTAGCTAAATCTGCTGCAGTTGCACAACAGAAACTTCCAAAAAAATAACAGAAGAACAAGTCAAGCCTATCAGACTTTGACAACTTCAATTCAGCATGTGTTTTATTAAACCTTAACACATCTCAAACATCAACAGCTCATGGGGCATCATTCAACAGTGGTGAAGACTATTGAGAAACTGCAGGCTGTATTTCTTTGGAGGGGAAGTGAAATTAGGAGGAAAGTTCACTTAGTAAGATGGCAGGAGTTAATTAAACTGAAAAGTCAAGGAGGTTTAGAGGTAAGAAGCATTAGTGACATGAATGCTTGCTTGCTCCTAAAGTGGTGGTGGAGGTATGGTGTAGAGGATAAAGCTCTGTGGAAGGAAGTATTATGCAACAAGTATGGAGGAGGGTGGAGACCAGATGTTGGGGAACATGTAATATGTCTCCAATTTGGCAGGGTATTCTAAGTATTGCTCAAGATAATCCTTAGCTAGTTGTTTTTTATTTGGATAATGCGAGGTTAAAGGTCGGGAATGGGGAACAAATACATTTATAGACTGATACTTGGTGTAACAATAGCAAATTAAATGAGGTATTTCCAAGGCTATTTAGTTTATCAGAATAAGGGGAGTACTTTACTGCAAATTATTCAGAGAAGAGGTATCTCTAGGGAGTGGAATTTGGTTTTTCGAAGATAGCTTAGAGCTTGGGAAGAGAAAGAGGTAATTAGCCTATATGAGTGGTTAAATGAAGTCCTATGATTACAATATATATAGATGATTTTTTGAGGTGGGAACTAAATCCAATAGGTTATTTCTTAGTGGCATCGGTATGGGAGTGGTTTTAAGCGACTAAGGGGCTTGATTTGTGGATTGCCAAATGGTTATGGAAGAATGTGCCCCCCCCCCCCTCTCCAAGTGAAAACATAAGCTTTTTTACATAGAGTTGTGGTGTTGGATGATAATGTTAGCAGCCTCTATGTCTTTTGCAGAGAAGAAGTTGAAACTCTTAACCATGTGCTCTTATATTGTCCACCAATTTGGAGAGTATGGTCTAGTATCTTGAATTGGTAGGAATTCTGTTGGGTAGTTCCTAGAACTGTGGAAGCATTGTTACATTGGTGGTCAGGTGCTACCTTGAAGAAGGAGCTGAGTATTTGGAAGATTGTGCCGTTAATACTTTTGTGGTCAATCAGGAAATTGAGGAATGATGTTGTGTTCAATGGGATTCACCCTAATATTGCTATCTTGGAAGACATTATGATGTCAAGGATAGCTTTTTGGACAAAGAGTAGTTTAGTGGGTTTACAGTACTCATTACATGACTTTGTCTTCAATCTTAAACAAGTCAAATTTTGCTAGGTTCATAGTAGCTAGGTGATTGGTCCTTTGTATTAGCTTCTTGTTTTTTGCTCTTTGGTTTGGTTGGTTACTCACCAACTTGGTGTTGTGTTAACAGTTGATTGTGCTTCTGGTGTGGTGCCAACCTAATTGGGATCGCACTGTCTAGCTATGAAGCTCTTGCATACACTCTCTTTATTGGTCTATAACATTTGTCTTGTTCACGGTTTGTCATCAATGAAATTTCCTTTTGCTGATCAAATATATATATATATATATATATCATCGAACTCCTTTGAGAATTGTCATTGGGGCTACTTTGGTAACAATTGAATTATTAAAGTAAATAATGTTGTTAAATCTAGGATGTGTAGTAAACATTTACAAATTTAATTAAGTTGGCTTGAGGTGAGTGAAAGACCGAAACCTGCGCGGAGTCAAGTGTCCAATTGCCTTTCTGGTTAATAGCAAGAGAATGTAAATTTTTGGTAGTTCTATAAAAGCTACTTGTACACACATGCTTAGGGATTTTCAAGGTATTATTTACGGTCTAATAATTGGTTTATTGAAATTAATGAAACTTGAAAATTTTGGAAAGACTTGCATTGTTGCATTCATGAGTAATGAAAATGTTTTCACATGAAATGATATCATTTGCATTCATAATCATACTTATGTTAATCTTATATACATTGATAATATTATTTCTACTAAGCAATTGTGCTTATCCTTTAGTGAAAAACTATTTTCAAGTATTGGTGAGATGCCTCTGCCTTGTTGACCGCTTGTGATTGGTGTTTTGGAGCAAGAAGACTTTATTTTATTTGTCATATTATACATCTTTTCAGCTTACTTGTATGGGGTAGAGACCCATCTTTTTGTAACAAAGTTTCAACCTTGAAATATGTAAGCCTATAAGACATTTTATTTAACTGTTGTAATAGTTCATTTCATGCTATGAATTCAGGTTTGAGGAATTATGAATGTATAGTACTTGTGATTTTTAATTTTATTTTTGTAAACCTCAACTTTAATGCAATGAAATATGCAAAGCGGGGATTTATTTTGATTGTAAATATCATTAAATATTGGATATCCTATTGGCTTTCAAGAAATATTATTGAAGTCCCATGAATTATAATCATAATAACAAAGATTAAATATAAGATATAATATAGGTGGGGAGATTTAAACCACACTCAACTCTTTAACGAGGTGTAAAAATTTTGACCAATTAAACTAACCACGTTGGTGTCTAAAATGTAAAATAAACCAATAGAAAAAATTACAAATTATCTCTGACTCAATTGATAGGAACATGAAATGACATGGCAAAATAGTAAGTCATTACACCAAATCAAGTAACAAATATGAATGTATAGTACTTGTGATTTTTAATTTTATTTTTGTAAACCTCAACTTTAATGCAATGAAATATGCAAAGCGGGGATTTATTTTGATTGTAAATATCATTAAATATTGGATATCCTATTGGCTTTCAAGAAATATTATTGAAGTCCCATGAATTATAATCATAATAACAAAGATTAAATATAAGATATAATATAGGTGGGGAGATTTAAACCACACTCAACTCTTTAATGAGGTGTAACAATTTTGACCAATTAAACTAGCCACGTTGGTGTCTAAAATGTAAAATAAACCAATAGAAAAAATTACGAATTATCTCTGACTCAATTGATAGGAACATGAAGTGACATGGCAAAATAGTAAGTCATTACACCAAATCAAGTAACAAATATGAGTACTATTTTATAATGAAACACCATGTCAATGGACATGGAATATTATCAACAAGAACACTTCCACAGAGACAGAACATAAAAAAGATGGATCAAAAGATAAATTAAAAAAAGGAAATTCCAAGAATGGAGATGCTCTTCATTGTTCTAATTGGGAACAACTTGGTTTGACAACTATTTTTTCCATTTTTTTTTTTTTTTTTTTTAAGGGGGGGGGGGTAAAGAGATAACATTTATTTATTTTAACCAAAAAAAAAAAAAAACCCAAACCCGAAATATTTGCATGCTAAGGTATCTGACCATGAGTACTTGAATTGACAATGTGAGGACAACTATATACTGAGCAAAATGACTGTACAGCAGACAACAATATGAGCAAGATGGTGGCTAGAAGTGTTAAAAACTTCCAAGAACCGTACACGTACTTCTTGATCCATTTATATGCCTGAACCTTTCGTGAATTGTAGAAGAAATTGTTCACATCTTTAATGGCCTTATCGACATATGGAACATGGGTTAGTCGAATGGATTTACTCATCCCATTGAAGAGTTGTAGAACCTCAGCATCACTTTTCAGACTGTTTACTATGATTTTCTTTTCTCTTAGCAACTTTGCATCCTCATCCGTCTCCAAAATCCCATTCAATAGTTCAGTATACCCCGTAAAAATAAGGGACCCTGACACTGTTGATGCTTCGTATGCCACCAAATTTCTCATTATTACTTCAGAGTACACATTCAAAGTGATGGCAGGGAGGTAAAATTTCTTCTCCTCCTCTACGAACCTAATCATTGTGATGTCGGTAGTAGGACATAATTCCACCCCAGCAACGTTATAAAGGTATGATACTGAAGGTATCATAATCTTCTCTACTTGAGGATGGTTTTGGATCTCACTTGAAATCGGATTTTCAGGTTTGATGTTTTTTTTATAATTTGATGCTAAGTACGATATCCCTGGAATACTACCAACAATCTTCCTAAAATTACCTAGTAGGTCATTGATAGGTTTTGTAATTTGACTTGGCAATATATTTAGATACGATAACCTACTCCAAAGGATAGCCAAAATTTGACAAGAATTACCTGAAGCAACATGCTGTGTTGCATTGGGTTTGGTAGCACTCGTTTGGACATCCTTTTTGGTAGATTCGTGGCCTTCCTCCAATTTGGGCACTATCAAATGGTACAAGAGGTCCAACAAATGTGCATAGTTAACAACTTGAGACAATGGAAAATCCTCCATCAATTTGAGTGGAGAGATTGCTTTACAAAAAGTCATCAACATCGAAGGCAGCAAGTTGTCATCTAGATTGGTTGATGAGCATTGGATGGACAAGATTTTACTTAACAGAATGAAAGGGATTTGGTTCTCAAGCATCATTATATCACTCACGATTACGTCCTGGGATAATTTTCTTCCTGCAGAGTCAACTAAATGATTTGTATTAGAAGTATCATCTTTGTTGACATACATACCAAGAAACTCGAGCAGGAACAAACCATCAATGGCCATAATCCATAGTAGTGTATCGCGATCAAAGTCCAAGAATTTGTGGTAAGATGCTCGAATTTTGTACTCAAATTCAATAAGCTTGTCAACAAGTTGATCGAATTCAAGGCTTTGGAACTGCTTTTGGAGCTGACTTGCTGCAACAAGCTTGCACCTCTCCATCTCATAGAGCTCGGGGCGAAAATGATGATATGGCCCCAAGCCTATTAGTTGTGGCATATATGCTTCTGGCTTGATAGCACTTAGAGTTGTAGGCACACGAAAAATGGAAACAACAACTTCAATGTCAACCTTAACCTCTTCTTTGATAATGTTTTTTATTTCATTGATCCATTGTCTCTCACTAGAGCTTGAATCAAAAATCGAACTCGTAGCCATTCTAATTTTGAATGCATGATCATTATGAAGAGTTGTTTATATAGAGAGTTAAGGCAATGCTATCCAAGAGGTAGGTGGTATACTATAGTTTTAAAATTATAATATTTTAACGGTTTGATGTTTAGTACTAATATAAACTTAACATTACTTGTGCCAGTTTGCTTACAAAGGCTGCAAAGAAATTTATTTATAAGGTTTAGTAAAAATCATATGTTTCATGCTAATTGGGAGGGGAATTCAAAAGTTACTCAGTCATATGGTATATTTGAATTGAATTAGTAATGTGTAGTTTAGTCCATGTGTGTAGCATCATCCATGGATTATATTATGTTAATTTGAATTAATATAATCCTCATTATGTTTTCCAACCTAGGTTTCAAGTTCAACTTCTAATAGGTGTTATCAATTCTTTAACGCCATGCCTGCAGGCCCTGCCTAAGATTTACTTGATCTACATGAAGGGCCCTTTGCATGAGTCCCGAGATTAGTCGAGATGCACGTAAGTTGATCTGGATACTCGATCATCCAAAACTATCACATTGCGTATTATGAGTTTAAAAAAAATATCTAAAGTGTTTTTAAGAATTATTCTTCCACCATCCAAAAAAATAATAATCCCTTTTAAAGAATCTTAACTTTTTAAGGTAACAATCACTTTACTTGGTTAGAGTTTTCTAAAAATATTTTTCAAAAAAAATTATTTTCTTATTTTCCGAAATGTGATTAATTGTTGGAAAAATTAGTCTAGATCCCTCCCCCACTTTTCGTAATGGAAAAGATCCACAAAATTATTTTTTGATGTCTAAGGTCCCTAAACATATATCAGAGAAATTTGACTCTTTGCCCACGATTCCTCTCTCTCTCTCTCTCTCTCTCTCTCTCTCTCTCTCTCTCTCTCTCTCTCCTACAACCAAATGAACAAAAGCTTCGTCTACCCTACCCCCAAATCCCATCCCTTCGCCAACGTCCTCCTCCCAAAACCTTATGCTAATCAATCTGTTTCGCAACAATCTCGAGGGTCCAATCCCTTCGTTCATTGGAGATCTCCCGAATCTCGAGGTCTTGCAGATTTGGGAGAACAATTTCACGTTGGAGCTGCCGGCGAACCTTGGCCGTAATGGAAAGCTGTTGAGGCCGTCAAGGCTGCTATAGAAGTTGCTAAATGAACAGCACGTTCTAAGGATGAGGCCTATATGCGAAGATGTGAAGCACTGCAGAGATCTTTAAAAGCATTGGATGCCACTTCGAAGATGTATAGATAGAGAGCAGAGATGGCAAAATCACTCTTGTTGAAGGAGAGACCACTTGGTGACGTGGATGAAGATACAGTATATGTTGTTAATGGTGGACGGATTGCCTAGAGAAAATTCAAATTTCTTTAGGTTTATTTTGGCCGATTTCTTTCGAGGCGAGCTATTGATGTAAGTTTGATTTCAATTTCAATTTTGATTATGAATTTTAAAGTTTTTTGGTTGATTGTTGGTTATTATAATTAAAAGCAGAGTGACAAGTGGTGGGCGATGATTGTTATCAGTGGCGTGCTTGTCTTTGGCAACGAAGATGGAGGAATACAGAGTACCATCACCCTCAGAGTTTCAACTGGAATGCAACTTTGAGAGCAAAGTTATTCAGAGAATGAAGCTTTTGGTATTGAATACATTGGAGTGGAGAATGAGTTCAATCACTCCTCTTGCTTTCATTCATTACTTCATCAGAACCCTTGGGAACCATTACTCTCCACCAAGGAATCTGGTTTCTAGAACTGTACACCTCATTTTGGCTATAATGAGAGGTAAATTTTAGACAGAATTGCAAATCAATTGAAAGCCAAAAAACAATTTTTTTTAAAAAAAAAATAGTAAGAATAAATCTATATGCACAAATTGTGATCTCTTGAACATGCTCCACAGTAGTCAATTTTCTCTGGCTTGGAAAGTCTAGAATTTATCAATTTTCTCTGGTTTGAAAATTGGTTAAACTGAACCCAGAGAAATTTGAATTTTCTCTGGGTTGAATCCAGAGAAATTCTTTGGAAGTCCAGAATTTCTCTGGTCCAAAATTTCTCTAGACAAAATTTCTCTGGACCAATTTTCTCTAGATCAACTTGAGGGACCTTAGACATTATCAAAATATTGAGGGTCCTTTATGCTGTAAAATCTTAATATCAGGGACCTTAAAAAAATTTTCCTTTATAATTAATACCACAATATATTATAACAAAAAACTACAAAAATTATAACCAAATGTGCATATGGTTGGTAAATACCATAAAATTTTCCATTAGTAAATACTACACAACAATTTATGTTAGTATAGAATATGCTTTCTATCGAATTCCTTTTAACTTTAATAATTTAAAAATTATTTAACATATAATATTATAAATTTAATAAAAATTTATTTTATGTTATAACTATAATTATATGATTTTCGATCCGATTCTATAGCTCATTCAACAACGATAGCCTCCCATCTCAATGGGATTTGGGGTGGCTGCTGTGCAGCCAAATAGGCCTATTTCAGGATCTATTTCGATAAGAGTAATATTAGGGATACAAAATTTTCTACCAAATGAATGACCAAATGTCTCACATGGGTGTGGGACCTATAGCATTTTCCTTTTGATAATCCGAACTGTTCACATTTTAGAATACATAAAGCAGAACATACTTGCAAAAAATCAAATTAATAGGCTATCGTTTACCTATTTATCCACTCACATTTGTATCTACAAAAATAAATAAGAATTGTGATTTAAAGTTTTAAAATGAATACAAATGTGAGTGGCTGAAAGGGTTAACGTTATCTGATTAACTTGATGTTTTACAAGTATATTCTATTTGATGTATTCTAAAATGTGAACGGTTCAGATTATCGAAATGAGCTCCAAAATTGGCCCATTTAACTGTACAACAGTGGCTGCTGCACACCCACACACAACAGCCACCCCAAATCCCATTGAGATGGAAGGCTATTGTTGTTGAATGAGTTATAGAATCGGATCGAAAATCATATAATTATAGTTTTAATATAAAATGAATTTTTATTAAATTTATAATAATATATGTTAAATAATTTTTAAATTATTAAAGTTAAATGAAATTTGACAGAATGCATATTCTATACTAACATAAATTGTTGTGTAGTATTTACTAATGGAAAAGTTTACGGTATTTACCAACCATATACACATTTGGTTATAATTTCTGCAATTTTTTGTTATGATATGTTGTGGTATTAATTATAAATTGTGATATTAGTTATGGTATTATTTTAGGGAAAATGAGTGAGAGCACTAATTAGTGCTATCACTAATGATGTGGCAGTGGGCTCCACCAGGAATGATTTGATGTTTTAGCCTTGGTGTTGTATTTTTTTTCTTTTTTTATTGAGTGCCATGTCATTAGTGGTCTTTTTAGAGCTCAAAAATTAGTGGTCTCTATCATTGTTGTTGTTTTGTTTGTCTCTCACCAACTAGGAGGTTAGAGCTTGATTTAGCTCAAAATTCCTCTTTATTGATGTAACTTCTCATACCTTGTATGTGCTCCATCAATAAAGTTTTCTTTTGCCGATCAAAAAAAAAAAATAAATAAAAAAAAAATAAAAAAATTAACACAAGAGATAAATTATAGGACAGTAAGGTGTGTATCATAACGTTACCCTATATTATTTTTTTACAATTTTTTATTTTTATTTATTTTATTTATTTTTTTGCTGACACTATGATTTCAATTTTAATAACCTCATTAAACCACGTTTGGCAAGGAATTTTCAAGCGAGTTCAAAGTAAACGTGCCTCACATTTCTATATTTGTTGTCATCTATAGTGTGGGCGCTTACCAGTAGGGAAATAAACAGTCGCCAAACAAGAAAAATGTTTTTAGATTTGAAAATTTTTATTCAATTTTTTATTAAATGACTCATATGAATGTAAAACTTATATCATGAATTTCACATATAAATATGGAACTCACCCATAGATTTCACATCCATATGAAATATTTAGTAAAAAATTTAATAAAAATTTTAGAGTTTTTATCCTCTTCCGCCAAACAATTCAATAATTGCTTTTTTTATTTTTTTATAAACAATTCACTTTAACAAAATTGATGTTGGCATTACCTCTTTTTTGTTTGTGCATGTTCTTTAAATATATATATATTTAACCCCCCTACACTGTGCATGACACGGGCTATTATTATAATATATTTAAGTTTTATATTTTGATAACTTTTTAAAAATTAAAATGTTGTTATATGAAATTGAACGGAACCTATCATTAGATATATGATAGAATTATGCGGTATGATATGTATCATTTTTTGTTTTGTTATATACTCAATGATGTAGACTCCAATTCTATTATTATATCATTTTGGGTGAATTTATAAGTCTTTAATATTTCTTCCGAATTTATAAAAAAAAAAATATAGTGTGTAACTTTTCTCAACAGATAAATATAAAACAAATATTAAGATAATTCTTCCATCTAAAAAAAAAAACTACTAAGATAATTCACTGAACTAATAAAGAAGCAGAAGAAAATGCATATATATACAAAAGACTAATTTTATTAATACATAAATTATACTTACATAACAAATGACTAATTTTATTAATAAATAAATTAACAATATTTAATGATATGAAAAATATTTTTCAATTAACTATTTTGTTAATAAATAAATCATTAAGTAAATTAACAGTTTTTTATGATATGAGAAATATTTTTCAATAAACAATTTTGATAATTTATTATTACATATGAGAATAGTTTTTTTTTTCCCAGAGTATTGTATTAAATTAAAATTTATAACAAACGATAATTGTAATTTTTAGTATTATAAGGACTAATTCATATTTTAAACAAACCTTATGGGTGTATTTGTAATTTGTTAAAAAATAAAAGATTTATATTTCATAATTGACTAAGAGTGCTTGCGTAATTATGAAAAAATCTATTTTATAATTAATCAAGAATGTTTGCGTAATTACGAAAC